AAGGAAGGAAAAGGAAGGAAAAGGAAGGAAAAGGAAGGAAAAGGAAGGAAAAGGAAGGAAAAGGAAGGAAAAGGAAGGAAAAGGAAGGAAAAGGAAGGAAAAGGAAGGAAAAGGAAGGAAAAGGAAGGGAGGGAGGGAGAGTGAAAGAGAGAAAGAAAGGAAAAAAAAAAAAAGAAAAACGAAACAACAACAACAACAACAAAACATAAACTTGGAGAGAGGGGAAAAAAAGGAAATTAAAAAAAAAAAAGAAGGTGAGCCTGTGTCCCGGCGGCTCCGTGCTCGGGGCGGGCAGCGGACGCGGATCGCTGCGCAGTGCCGCCCGCGCGGTGCCCAGGGCCAGGCCGGGCGGGGCCGCTCGAGGCGCTGCGCTGCTGCCGTCGGGCGCTGCGCGGTGCTCTGTCCGTCCGCTCCGGGAGGAGAGGCGGCTTCGGAAGTCACCCTCACGGCTCCGGGGTGCTGCTGCGTTAATTGTTAATGCCATCTGCCATTAGAGGGCACTGCGCAACCCTACATTCAGCTTTCCGTGTGCGGAGGGAGAGGCAGGGGCAGCGAGAGAGCGGCACCAATTCGGGAGAAAGATTTAAAAGGATGCGGAGCTTCCGAAGGGCTGCAAATGCCTGGGCTCCAGGCGGGACGGTGGTCGTAATGATAACAAACAACAACAACAATCGAAAAAGGAAAAAAAGAAAAAAAAAAAAAGAAAAGAAAAAAGGGAAAAAAAAAGGAAAAAGAAAATAAGAAAGAAAGAAATGCGACGAGGTCAATCATTTACCAGTCTGCCGCTTAATGCGTGTGACTGCAGGTGGCACCGGGGACATTGTGATTCATGCCCACTTTCAAAGCGGGACCCGGGCCCAGGCTGAGGCACCCAAACAACTGTCTTCTAATATTAGCACGGCTGTATTTCTGGATCTATTATAGTCTGTCCAGACAGATCCCATTGTAATGGGATCTTTTATTAAAAGATTAGCACTATCTCCTGCAGTTGGTGGAAAAAAATCTGTTATCGCTGAGTTATTTGCAGTTGTGGGGAGGGGGCGGGCGGCGGGGGCGGCGCGGAGGAGGGCTCGGGGAGGGCCGGGGGAGGCGCGGGCGGCCGCGCGCACCGGTCCCTGACCCGGCACTGTCCGGGCATTCCTGTCTGCATACTTCGCAGTCTGTTGTGCTTTGGTGGCTCAGAAAAGCGAAAGAATCGAAATTTAAAAGGCAGCTTTTGAATAAACAATACCATTTTCCGTTAAGTAATCGTTTTGTATAAAAGGAAATATCGCCTACTCAGTTTCATTCAGCGGTGCCAAAAATGTTATAAATGAGCGACCGCCAACTTTTCTAACAGGAGAATAATGCCAGACTGTGCTTAATAAACTAGTGCCCTAGAAGTTCATTATCGATGTTGCAATCTTTTCTGATTCTGAAAGGAGACCGCCTACGTCGCCCCCGTTCCTGTCTCGTCCTCCCGGGCTCTGAGTGAAAAGGCCGTCACTTGGGCAGAGCTCTACGTACTAAACTTTAAAAAGGAACTTTTTAGTTCCATTTATTTATTTATTTATTCATTCCGGTGCGCGGCTGATCGCTCCCCCTCTCAAGTTTCTGGGGGCCGAGTCCCACCGCGCCACCGTCGGCCGCCTCCCGCCCGCGGCGGCCCTGCTCCGCTCCGCTCCGCTTCGCGCGGCGATGGCAGCCGTGGAGCGCCGCAGGGCGAACTCCGGTCAGGAGCTGCTCCCGAGCTGCGTCGCTCCCCGCACCCCGCGGTGCCCCCCGCGCTGGGACCGCGCTCTGAGCCCGCGGAGGCTGCGCGATCCCCGGCCGTGCCGTGCTGAGCCGTGCCGTGCCGCCGCCGCGCGGGACTGCGCGGGTGCGCGCCCGGAGGAGCGCGCCCGCGTGTGTGCGTGCACCTCCAGCATTAATTGGAGAGGGTTTCCAGAAGGTGGAAAATGTCACCTGATTCACACTGAACTTTTTAAATCTCCCCACCCCCGAGCAGACACACACACACATTAGGAGACCGCCCACCGCAGACAGCTAAGACCCCCGTATAGATTTAAAGAGAGACTGCATTCAGAGCCTGACGTTCATTCAATAGAGCGATCATAAGCAGGCTAGCTGGTGCTCGCTCCGTCTCCCTACTCCCCTTCACGCTGTTCCTGTGTCTCTCTCACTCCCTGCTACGTTGAGGATGTTAAATCAGAGGATCCACCCGGGCATGCTCGTACTCCTGATGTTTCTCTACCACTTTATGGAGGATCACACAGCGCAGGGTAAGACCACAGCGTTTATTCGGAAGTGTGTTTTCTTATTAGTGTTGTTATTATTACTCTTATTTTCCGTCTTTCGTGCGCTGCTTACTTCGCTGAGGTGTTACACGCCTCTCTCCAAGGTCCAACCGGACAGAAGTTAGCAGCGGGCGCGGGACTGTTCGGGAAGGGGCGCAGAGGTGTCACGTAGGTTTCCTTCGGACCGGACCTTCCCTGCTCTGCATGGGCACGGAGGGCACAGGAGGATGTTTATTGGCACTCCTCGTGATTCTGCAGCGTGAATGAGGAGCAGCATCGCGGGGAACTTTTCCTGCACTCATGTCCCGAACGAGTGCTCAAAGTTTGTCGGTAATTTAGCTCAGATTTTTATCTCGCCTTCTGACAGAAGGGGAGGTGATGTGGAGCCCTGGGCGCACAGCTGACACTTTCAGAAAGCGTGGTGGTCACTTTCCGGGCATTGCCTCAATATTGGGATTTCCTTCCCTCCCCCCACCCCCTTTGTGTGTGTGTGTAAGTGTGAATAAGTGTTGTAAATTCTCCTGCTATGAGGAGTGTGCCTAAATAAGCTTGCTTACTTTTATTATCCTTTCCCATGCGAACAAAACAATCCTGAACCTAATAGTGACAACTCTTAAGAGCCCTCTTTCGACACTAGGAAACACTGATTTTCAGTTTGGGGTGTTTTTGCTTTTTCCGCCTAATATTGATGTATCCCAACCTTCTTGTCTTACTGCTGCTGGGTTTTCATTTTTTTCCCATTTCTTCACCCTCTCCCGACCTAGAGCAGAAGTTAATGTAGGCAACTGTAAGACGCAAAACTTTTTTTTTTTTTTTATTTTTTTTTTTTTTTAAGGGGGTTTTTTTTTCCTTGTTTTGTCGCCGGGGGCCGGGGGGGGCGGCGTGGGGGGTGTTCCCCGCGCCCAGCGGCGCCCCGGCGGGCCGGGCCCGGCACTGGTGCGGTGCGCTCCGTGGGAGGAAGAAGCAGGATAGAGCCCTCGCTGGATGGGCACCAGAATCAATTGGTATCGAGTCGCTGGAGGAGTCATATTGGTTATTCACAAGAGGCTTATCCCAACCCAAACTCTCCAGCTAAAATGGGGGGCGGGGGGGGGTGGTTGCTTGGACTCATGTTCTTGGCTTGACTCCACGAATAACAGGGATACCAGGGGGGGAAAAAAAAAAAAAAAAAAAAAAGAGCAAAAAAAAAAAAAAAACTTTATCCGGTTTGAGGACAGTGTGCTTTCCTCTGAAACGCTCGCGGGAGAAACAGCACCTCCAACTTTTCCAGCGTGATCGATTCTGAAAAACTCCGCAGGGAGCTCTCCCTCGGGGTGCCCTCCCGTTTCGTGTACTTTGCTCACTTTATTTTTCTTTTTTCTGGTCTTTGTTGTCGGAGGTCTGCTGAGTTATTTTAGCCAAGGGAAGACGTTTGTTAATAGAAGCAGCGAAATGTGGAGATTTCGAAAGAGTTCGTTCACAGCGAATGTTCCCAGTCGGTGCGGATTGCAAAATGTGCTGGGGCTGGGGTGCGTGCGGCACTAACAATGCTGCCGGGCGGCCGCGTCGGAGAGGGCAGGGGGAGGAGGGAGGAACTACAAGCGCGACTTTCTTTTTATTCCCTTTTAAATGCACGTCCTTTTCAAGCCTCTGTCACGTGCCGGCAGTGCTCCTTCTGCTCTACATATGGAGTAAATACCTCGGAAAACTGCCTCGTGCTGTTCTGATCCGGTCTTTTTTCTTTCTGATTTATATATTATTATTGTTATCTCACCCAAGCGGGCCGGGCCAGCTGCGGATTGTGGAACGGGACAAATAAAGCCAGCAGTCCAGCAAAAGTCAGTGCGAGGCGCGCGCGGTGCCCGTGCGGCTGCTGGTCCCGGCACTGACCCGGCCCGGTGCGCCCCTGTCCCCCGCAGCTGGGAACTGCTGGCTCCGGCAGGCGCGGAACGGCCGCTGCCAGGTCCTCTACAAGACCGACCTCAGCAAAGAGGAGTGCTGCAAGAGCGGCCGCCTGACGACCTCGTGGACGGAGGAGGACGTCAACGACAACACGCTCTTTAAGTGGATGATTTTTAATGGGGGAGCCCCTAACTGCATCCCGTGCAAAGGTGAGAGGGCCGGGAACCGCGGGTGACTCGAGTTCGGGGTGGGAGATGAGGGCCTGCAGACGGCAGCGCTGTCCTCGTGCTGCCTGCCCCCGAGGCTTGAGGGCTATCCCAAAGCAGCGCCAGGGATAGGGGGACTGCTTCTTCTCATCCGTGCAGGTCAGTGGGAGATGGGGAGGGGGATCTTTGTGCATGGCCCTCCTGGCTCCAGGATTTCTGTCGAGGTCAGTTTCCTGCATGGTAGCAGTGTGGGGAGGGGAGAGCGGGGCAGGGGGAGGATGCTGTCTTTTTATGCCTGGGGGTCATGGTGTCTTCTTTTCTTTGGGCAATTTTGACACCAAGTCTCTTCTGCACACTTGGTACTACAGTGGTGCCTCTTTCCTTCCATCAGAAACATGTGAGAACGTGGACTGTGGACCTGGGAAGAAATGTAAAATGAACAAGAAGAACAAACCTCGGTGTGTTTGTGCTCCGGATTGCTCTAATATCACTTGGAAGGGCCCTGTGTGTGGCTTAGATGGGAAAACCTACAGGAACGAGTGTGCCCTTCTCAAAGCCAGATGTAAAGAACAGCCTGAACTTGAAGTCCAATATCAGGGCAAGTGCAAAAGTAGGTTTGCAAATCTCATCCAATCTCCATCAAATGGCATAGGGTGTGTGTCTGAGTGTAGGGAGGAGGAGCTGACATACTCCTCCAGAGTAACCAGAGTGATGTTCCAAGCATGCTCACAGACCAGGACATGGGTGGATTGATTGAGAGTTATCCACAGTTTAGCAGAACTTGTGTCCCTCATGCTACCCTGAGATGGAAAGGTCTCCAGCGGCCCTTAAACGAGGACCATTGCTGAAGGCTTTTGTCTGATTGTTCATGTCATTCTGTCACCCATTCACTCCTCCCTGGAGTGCCCACATCTTCTATTAATCATTTTTTGTTTCCATCTTTATTTCAGAGACCTGTAGGGATGTTTTATGCCCAGGCAGCTCCACGTGTGTGGTGGATCAAACTAATAATGCCTACTGTGTGACATGCAATCGCATTTGCCCTGAGCCTACCTCCCCTGAGCAGTATCTCTGTGGAAATGATGGCATAACTTATGCCAGTGCCTGCCACCTGAGAAAAGCGACCTGCCTGCTGGGCAGATCCATTGGATTAGCCTACGAGGGAAAATGCATCAGTAGGTATCTCGGTTGGAGAGATAAATGTAGGGGGAGCTTGCAGACTCATCTGTTTTATCACCTTGTGTGGAAGTGGATGGATGGATGGATGGATGGATGGATGGATGGATGGATGGATGGATGGATGGAT